AGGAAGGAAGGAAGGAAGGAAGGAAAGAAGGGAGGGAGGGAGGGAGGGAGGGAAGGAGGATGGAAGGAAGGAAGGAAGGGAGGGAGGGAGAGAGAGAAAGGAAAACCAACCAGTAGAGCTGGACGCAAACATTTACTATTCTTTTATGAGGAGAAAGCAATCACACTGACAAGCTTACACAAAAAGAAACAAAACACAGAGCAACCATTTTCCCTAATACCAGAAGTTCTCAAATCAAAGCCATAATTCCTTTACAAAAACATAACTAAACTATGATCTAGAAATAAATGTAAGTTGAGAAGTGGAGAATTTTTCTTTCAATTACAGTTTTAACTTAGCTACCCCTAGGCCCCAGCAAGAAAGAACTTTATCAAATAGCACAGAGGAAATGAAGTGTGGCTGCCCCAGGGACTTTAACATCCAGGAAATGTTTACTTTATGAAAGAAGGGGGGGTGGAATTACAAACATATTGAGAAAGAAGCTTTTAGACACATTTAAACAGAACAGCAAAGAATGGGCCAGGAACTCTATTACTTAACAATCTAGAATGTACTTGTGTTTATAGGTTTTTGAGTTAATGAATGATTCTAAAGGATGAGTTAATTTTCACAGGATATTAGTAAATGTTCAGAAATAATTCGAAGACTTGCTCAAGTATTGTTAAGTGCTGTTGAGTTGTAGACGACTCATAGTGACCCTATGAACGAAAGACCTGAACACTTGTTTAACTTTTATCATTTTTCCAAGTTCATAGAGTTTTCAGAGACAAGCTATTTCAGAAGTGGATGCCACTCCTGCTTCCAAGCTTGTTTTAATCGGGGAGCTCCACCCAACACTGTCCACCATGGGTAACTATTATCACATTTGACACATCAGTGTCCCAGTGTTCAGCTTCACAGTGACCACAAGTTACCTCTGTACAGCAAGTGGACAGACCAGTGCTCTTGCTCAAGAATGAATTAACCTTTTTATTGTTACTATTCAGCAACAGCTCGTCTTCTTCCTTATTATTTTAACATTAGGGCATTGGGATACTTCCTAGAAAAGGAAGATCAAAAGGCAAATTGAGGTCTTTGAATTGTGATGTTGTTGAAGAATATTGAATGCACCACAGACTGCCAAAAGAACAAACAGATCACTTTAAAGAAGTGCAACCAGAGGTCCCCTTAGCAAAAAAGGATGATGGGGATTTGTCTCAAATACTTGGTGTTTGCTATCCTTCTAAAAGGATGCTCTGTTTGGAAACGTTAAGGGTCAGTCAAGGAGAGAGAGAACTCAATGACGCAGATCACCTGTCACTGAACAACAGAGATGGTGACGATGAGAGTCGGACAGAGTTGTTGGGAGTCAGAGTCGACTTGATGGCACCTCAGCACTACTGGAAGATAACAACCAAGTGGCTGGAGATTGCGAAAAAAGAGAAAAAGGGAAAAAAATAAAAAGAAAAATATTTTTTAAGTCGTCTCTTTCTAATTTCTTTTGATGGTGTTTTTCCTAGAGTCTGCTTTACAGAAACACTTAGTCCCATGTGTTGCTCCAAAAAGAAAATATTCTGTGTTTTAAAAATTTGGGGTGATGCTGAGTGAAATATCTCAGTCACAAAAAGACAAATACGGCCTAATGCCACTGTTATAAAGAGGACTGACATCAGGCTTGAGCGGAGACTGAGAAAGAGGGGATAAATCATGTATACTGCATTGAAACGGATGAGGGAGAGAACTGTTGAAAAGGGATATATGATTAGGTATTATTGTCATGACAGGAGTCCAGAATGAAGACTGCACAGTGGAGTGGACTTGAGGGGAGGGATTGAATAACAATGAAAGAATTTTTTTTCTTTTACTTTTCAAAAAGAAAAGCAAATTGGGGCGAGGGATGGACAGGGAGAAAAGTGCAACAAAGAATGAATAGAAATCCAAAGTGTCTCTAAACTTTCATTAAAATAAATTTAAAATAAAAAAACAACAACTTGGGACAATACTATCTAGTGTAGATTTACAATGTATGTGAAGATTTCCTGTAGTAAAGAAAATGACTGACCATGGTTTAATCCAGAGTCCCGTAAACGTATTTAAATGTAGAAAGCTCTGTATGTGTTTCTATGAATCACAAGCTTAGAGCACCAAGTTTTGTTGTTATTGTGTAATATTGCTCAGTCGCTTTCTATGTGTGGTAACCACAGTGCACAGAGTACGACTGCTCCATAGAGTCTCCAAGGATGTGACCTGATGGAGGCAGATCAACAAGTCTGTCTTTCAACATGTGTTGGAGGGGGAGAGGGTGGTTGAATTACTAGGTCTTTGAGCTAATAACTGAGCACTTAACTATTTGAACCACTAGGGATATTGTTGCTGATGTTAGATGGATCTTGGCTGAAGGCAGAGAATACCAGAAGAATGTCTATCTGTGTTTCATTGATTATGCAAAGGCATTTGACTGTGTGGATCATAACAAACTGTGGCTGACTCTGAGAAGAATGGGAATCCCAGAACATTTAATTGTGCTAATGTGAAACCTGTACTTGGACCAAGAGGCAGTAGTCAGAACAGAGTAGGGTAACACTGCATGGTTCAAAATTGGGAAGGGTGTACGCCAGGGATGCATCCTGTCTCCATATCTTTTCAACATGTATGCAGAGCAGATTATCCGAGAGGCTGGGCTCTATGAGGAGAATTGTGGCATCAGGATTGGTGGAAGATCTATTAACAATCTCCGTTATGCAGATGACACAACCCTGCTTGCTGAAACGGAGGAGGACCTCATGCACTTGCTGCGAAGGGTCAAGGACTGCAGCCTTCAGTATGGACTGAGGCTCAATGTCAAGAAGACAAAGATTCTCACCACTGGACCAATTGGCAGCGTCAGGATGGATGGCGAAGAGATTGAGATTGTTCACAGCTTCAGTTTACTCGGCTCCACAGTCAACACTCTTGGCACCAGCAGTCAGGAAATCAAAAAGCGTATCACGATGGGAAAGTCTGCTGTTAGGGACCTCTCTAAAGTACTCACGAGCAATAGTGTCTCTCTGGAGACTAAGGTGCGTCTGATACAGGCCATGGTATTTGCAATCGCTTGTTATGCATCAGAGAGTTGGACAATGACTAGGGAGGACAGAAGGAGAGTGGATGCTTTTGAGCTGTGGTGCTGGAGAAGGGTATTGAATGTACCATGGACTGCCAAGAAAACAAACAGATTCATCTTGGAGAGGATTAAACCAAGCTGCTCCTTGGAGGCAAGGATTCTGGGGCTTTGTCTGACATACTTTGGACATGTTGCCAGGAGGGACGGGTCCTTGGAGAGGGACATCATGCTTGGAAGGGTGGAGGGACAGCTCAGGAGGGGAAGACCCTCTATGAGGTGGGTTGATTCGGTGACTGGGGTAATCGGGATGGGTGTGTCAGAGGCAGTGCGGTTGGCACAGGATAGAGCACGGTTTAGGGCTGTTGTGCATAGGGTCGCTATGAGTCGAAAACGACTCGATGGCACATAACAACAACAACAACACGGACTTAAGCTGTATGAAATGCTATTCTGTTAGTTGTATTTCAAGTGTCTCAGGTACTAATGTCATTTCTTTACATTAAATATGGTGAGTTTGGTTGAGCTGGAAGCTGTGCTGCAATCCCAAAGGCACACAGTTCGAGGCCACCAGCTGCTACTCCATGGGGGAAGGATATGCAGTCTTCTCCCCTGTGATACAGCCTCTGAAAACCTGCCAGTGGGTCTGCTGTGGGTCAGTTCTGACTCTAGAGGATACAACAGCAACAACAATAACAAGTGTATGTTAACAGTTTCAGCTTACTGGGTTCCACCATCAACAGCACAACCAACCAGAACTCAGGAAATCAAAAGACGAATTGCACTTGGAAAATCTACTACCGGGGACCTTTCCAGAGTGCTAACTAGCAACGTTTTCAGTCTACAGACTAAGGTGCACCCGACCCAGACCGTATCCTTCACAATTACTTGCTATGCATCAGAGAAGTGGAGAGAACACATGAAGATGCCTTTGAGTTGTGTGGAGAAGGGTCTTGAACATACCATGAACTGCCCAAAGAGCAGACAAATTGTCCTCAGGAGGGTGAAGACAAGTTGGTCCTTGGAGGCAAGGATTTGAAGCTCCATCTCACATACGTTGGGCGTGTTTCCAGGAGGGGTCAGTCCTTGGAGAAGGACATCATACTTGGAAGGGTGGAGGGACAGTGCAAGAGAGGAAGACCAAGGATGAGATGGATTGACACAGTAACTGAGATAATGGGGATAGTTGTGTCAGAGACAATGAGATTGACTCAGGAAAAGACAGAGATCGGAGCTGTTGTACATAGTATCGCTTTGAGTCCCAGTTGACTCAATGACACAAAAAAACAACAACGTAACATTAACTGCAGAAGAATGCATCTATGGCATATATATTTGTCTCCAACAGGTCCTTTTCACTGTTTCATTTGTGCCGATTTTGAAACTGTCATAGACCATATAAACTGTTGGGAATTGTGATTGAGGACAATCTGAACATGAGACGATTCCATAATAAAACTGCCCAAAGTAAGACGCTAGGGAGCTCTGGCTGTCTAGTGGCCAAAAACTGCCCTGTGATTTCCAAGAAAGACATGTGGTTCGAGGCCACCAGCCGCTCTGTAAGAGAAGGTTGGGCAGTCTCCTCCCGTGCAATTAACTGCCTCTGAAAACCCACTGGAGGGTCTGCTCGGTGTCGCTTCTGATTCCACGATACACAAAAATAACAAGACTCTGGCATAAGTTCTGCATAATAATATACTGTCTAGAACAGTAAAAGAAAAGACTAGATCTGAAGTAGTTCTTTCTCTTTTTTTAAAATACTTTAAAAATTTTTTAACATAGTCTTTGCAATTATGTGCTATTCATCAGAGAGCTGGACAGTGAATAGGGTTGATAGAAAGAGGATTGATGCCTTTGAGCTGTGGTGCTGGAGAAGAGT